TATTTCTATAAAGAATGTTTTATAGTTGCATTCATGTAATTTCTGTTTGGGTCGTAGTAGGTGGACTCCCAAACATCTTGTTTAAATCTGTAGTTACTTTGAATGGAATTTCTCTTTGTATCTATTCTTGTTGGGTTTTGTTGGTAATATACAGGCAAACTGATGACTGATGTGGGTCTATTTTATATCCTGCTACTTTAGTGAAGTTCTTATTTTAATCTGTTTTAGTTGAATCTCTAGGGTTTTCTAAGTAAACCATTATATTACATCTGTAAGAAGCAACAATTTAGTTTCCTCTTTACCTATACTTATTCTCCCAATTTATTTTCCTTCTCTTATTGCTATAGTTGGCTTTTCAAGTACTGTATAAAATAATAGTAGTGATAATGGACATCGATGCTTTGTTGCTAATCTTATTGAAAAAGACTCTAGTGTCCTTTATATATGGAGACTTTATAATGTAGACTGTAGACTCCATGTAATGCTGGTTCTTAGTTTTAGATAGATACTGTTTATCACATCAAGGAAAAGTCTATTTATTCCTGTGTTTTTCAACGTTTCAATGTTTCACATGGGTATTGTGTTTTGTCATGCCTTTTCTGTATCTTTTGATATAATCGTGTGACCTTAAAATTATTTTTGTTATTAATATAGTCTGTTACATTTATAGTTTTCCCAGTATTGAACCAACACTACATACCTGTGCTCAAAATCAGAAGGCCACCTAGGGCTAATTAAAACCACTGCAAACAACTATATTTGGAGCTAAGTAGAATGAACACACACTTGTTCAAGTGGGAAGCAGTTGTATTGCCTTTCGAAGACAACAGAACCAATTTGTCAGTACCTGACCATAGTTGCTGTTGTTCTGGTTTTAAAAACATCTTTTTCAAAGTGTTTTATGCTTAAGTTGTTAAACATCACTAAATGGTTCTTCAGACTTAGACAGAACCATTTTCTTTTCTTTTTTGGGGGGGCGGGGTAAAGGGGGATTAGGTAATAGGGTTAAGTGACTTGCCCAGGGTCACACGGCTAGTAAGTGTCAAGTGTTTGAGGCCAGATTCAAACTCTGGTCTTTGTGTCTCCAGGGCGCGTGCTCTATCCACTGCGCCACCTAGCTGCCCCTAGACAGGACCATTTAAAGAGAGAAGTCTATATACATATGTCTTAAAGTGTATGTTTTTGTACACATGCCCAGAGCTACTAGCTGTGGCACTCTGGGCAAGTCACTGAAGTCAAGATCGAGGTCTGCCTCAGTTTCCTCATCTATAAAACGGGGATAATAATAACACCTACCTCCCAGGGTTGGTATGAGAATCAAATGAGATAATATTTGTAAGATGCTTTGTAAAACTTAAAAGTGCTATGTAAATGCTAGTTGCTATTATTATTATTGTTGTTCCTATTATTACAGTAATTGTAAGAAAGTAAGAGATCTAGATTCAAATCCCACCTCTGACACTTATTAGTTGTGTGACAATGGACAAGTTGCTTACTGAGCCCCAATTTTCACATCTGTAAAATCATACCTGTACTACTTACCTCATAGAATTGTTTTGAGGATCAAACAAAACATTGTATATAAAGTGCTTTGCAAACAGTAAAGGTATCCCAAAAGTCTTAGAGCAGTTTAAGCTTTAATAAGTTTTGATTAACTTTAAGCTTTAGTAAGATTAAACTGCACTAAGACTTTTGGGACACCTTATGTCAATGCCAGCTAGTAGTAATAATAGCAGTGGTAGTGGTGGTGGTGGTGAAGCCATTCCTAGGAGTTTACACAGATTTTCTTGGCCTGGTTCTAGTCTCCCCTGAGAAGCTTGGGGCGAGTCTGTTTGCTGCCAGCCACACAGGCTTGCTCTGGCATGATGATGACGGGTACCTTTAAGTGCTACTGAGCTAGAACTCAGCAGATATATACAAGGCAAGCAACAGCCTGCCTCTGCACTGCTTATTTCTCTCTTCAGTGTCCAGGGAAGCAGGGCTCAGTTTAAGCCGCCATCCAGCAGCTGGATAAAGGGAGGAGTAGCTAGCTGGCTTATGATTTCTAAAATCCCCAGTTTGATCCTTGTGCTCCTCATCCTCCTCCTCCTCCTCCTGCTGTCTGCTGCTGCAGCTCTGAGAAGGAGCTAGCTGCTGCCTTGTACCTCCCAGGATGCTCAGACCTTTCAGAACCCAAAAGGTCACCTGGACACTCCAGCTCAGGGTCCTGGTCAGCCTAAGGTTAGGAAAGAACAAATACAAAAGAGCCAGGCAGCCATGTGCTTGCTCAAAGACACCACGTGCAGGTGACTGAATGGATCCAGTTGACCCTTCCCCTGCTGGGCTGAAGGCAATCTTGTTTCACTTGCCACCCGGTATGGTAAGATCACTGGAGAGGCAGTTTGTTGCTCTTGTGTGGAATGAGTTAAGCAGGCAGACGGGGCCCCAAGGTGCCCTGAATTACAGGGATATGTAGAGAGAGAAGATCCAGGCTCATTCTCTTTCTCTAAGGGAGACCTTTGGCTGGAGCAGGAAGAGGGCTATGGCTGGGCATTCACTCTTATTTCCAAGAAGGGTATGAGGTTAGGATTATATCTACCACACATCAGATATTTACACTTTAGAGGCTTAGATTTTAGGGTTTGTATTTTGCTTTTAGGAATTAAGGATAAAAATCTACCTTCCCCGGTCCCTCTAAAGTGCTACTTTCAGCTCCCTCTAAACATTTGTTACAAAAGAGACATTCACAGAGAGCTGGCAGAACCTATTTAATAATAAACTAGCATTTATATGGCACTATAAGGTTTGCAAAGCATTTCATAAATGTTATCTCATTTGATCCTCACAACAAGTCTAAGAGATAGGTACTATTATGATCCCCATTTTTTTTAACAGATGAGGAAACTGAGGCTGAGAGATTAAGTGACTTCCTCAGGGTCATACAGTGTATTGGAGGCAGAATTTGAACTCAGGTCTTCCTGACTCCAGGTTTCACGCTATGCCACCTCTAGCTCTTTGTGTTATGCCACTTAGCTACTTTAATATAATTATAATATTATCTATTACCTATTTTGAGGCAGCTAGGCGGTGTAGTGGATATAGCGCTAGACCAAGAGTCAAGAACATCTGAGTTCAAATGTGGCCTCAGACACTTCCTAGCTATGTGACCTTGGACAAGTCACTTAACCTCTATTTGCCTCAGTTCCTAATCTGTAAAATGGGTATACACTGGAGAAGGAAATCGCAAACCGTGTCAGTATCTTTGCCAAGAAAATCCCATGGACAAAGTTCATGGGGTCAAGTAGAGTCCGACACAACTGAAGAACTGAACCTTTATCTAAGCAAACAGCAAAACAGAAATCAGGGAAATTGTACAGATTAAGGTAAATAGTAGACTATATAAGAGCAAATAGGCTCTTCTAAAGTGATGTGTTTTAGGGGGTGCTGACACAGTTAAGGGGTGCTGGGACCCCAAAATGTCAGGGTACAAGGCAGAGTTGCCTGGAATGAATTCACATACTCAAACCATCCTTTAGTCAAGTGGCAAAGTTTGTTGTGATGCCAATAGAAGTGGGCAAAGGTTCTTAGGGAACCTGTAGCCCGATAGCGGTGATGTTAAGGCTTCTATGAAAAAGGGATGGGGGGGGATTAGGGAGAGTGGTCAGCATATGCAAGTAGTCCAGATATTTTGAAAGAAGGCTCCTGCAAACTATGGATGGGAAAATACTGGAAGTTTGCAGAGATAACTTTGTTGATACCAGACATAGAAGGAAAAAAGACAATGTTTTTGTTTAACTGCCAGAGGCTGGTTCTTGGGCAGGCACCTCTGAGCCAGCTTTTATCTGAGGAATTTACAGGGTCAACTTTCTGTGCCTGTAACAAGGAGAGAATTTTCTAATGGGTGGGGGAAGGGGGACCTGGGTTACTTAGACATGGCCTTAGGGTTTTGAGGGGTCCAGGTCCCACCACTCCATCACAAAACAAAAGCAAGATAAAATCTCAGCTTCCCCAAGAATGGAATGAGTTCACTGAAGAAGTCTTTCCTAAGCAGTCCCTAGGGATATAGATGCTAGGGACTGAAGGATCTCTTGGGTGTTGGGGCAGCTTTCCCCACATGTTTATGCCTCCAAGGGCTCCAATTAGCCTTTCCAAAGTCTGTGCCTTATCTCTACATCCCTTTGCTAATCAGGATTCATGTCGCCTCACATGCCATATCCATCATCACAGGCTCAGAGGGTCTGTCACCCAGGCAGGAGTTTATGTCTCTACACACACACACACACACACACACACACACACACACACACACACACA